TTATTACATTGAGCTGCACTCTGCTGGCCTCACCTCCCCATGCCGCTCACTCAGGATCTAATGTCTGATGTTTTATTATAATCAAATGAATACCACGTCTTCAATATAAATGAGCCTATTGAAAAACACATTCTGTGCCTTGCAAAATGTCCATCACGCTTCAGGGAATGAGGTGCCACATTTAATTCAGAGCTGATGCAATTTCCGTGTTGTGTGCTGCTGTTTAGGTGAAAACAAGTCTTCTGCCTTTAATTTCACCCTCACGTCCCCAAGATGCCCCCTTCAAATCCCATGATAATCCAACTTGCATAAAGTCATGCAAGTCTCCTCCGGGTTCATTACTTTGCATGGATTTTCGGAGGCAGAAATGTCACCTGGGAGCTCATGAGGCCATTAGCTCACTTCATCTTATGATCCAAACACTGCGCTTGAAAGTTAAGTTATTATCTGCAACTTCCCCAATACCGTATATGGTGCAATTGTCCTCTACCCTATATATCATAAGGTCTGACCAGCACATTTACAATTTGGGAATCTGACAAGAGATGAGGACTTGAACGTGTGTGTGTGTGTGTGTGTGTGTGTGTGTGTGTGTAGCAAGGCGGAGCAGGAGGGGAATTGGGGAATCCAATCTCTCACACAGAGGAGCAGAGACAGGCGGGCAGATATGCTCGGGGCCCAGAATAACCCTGGCGGTATCCATGAATGAAATGACAGGATTACAGGGGAATTAGAAAACCTGCTGAGATAGTTGATAATACTGTTTATGGTTGGGCGTCACACTGCTTGCAGGGGAAGAGTAACTGTTTAACTTCTAAAAAATATGAACACGCTTCGTAACCAAGGCGATCATTAAAGGCCAGGGGGTCTCTCTCAACGTCTGAATTTGTGTTAGCTTGACGGACATGAACTCAAATACTGAAGGATTTATGTCCGCTGCATTATTGTGGTTGAACCTCTTAAAAATGGGGGCCGCAAACATAAGCTCCTCGATCCCGTTTAAGAATGAGATTATTGTTGTGTCAACAACCCCCCATAGATAATAGTAATTACTGCCCTTGCTGCACCACCATCAGACTGCAACTTTTCTAGCTGACAGCTTGGTCCTAATTACCAAGAACCACCAATTACTGGCTCCATTTCATTATTTATATTGCTCAGCACACCAAAATAAAAGAGACTTCAGTGACTCAGTGAGCAGTCGCATCTCTGGCAGCTGCACAGGAGCAACCGGAGGACCTGCTGAATCATTGTTTTAGTTTTTTTCCTGACAATATAATAATCAGCATGCAAACACAAAATTGTTATCGTCAAGAAAAATGAGTAGGAATAGGAAAAGGATGGCAATAGGGGGCTGCCTCGATTTCCCTTTTGTCAACCACAGGAAGTAATTTAGCTGCAAAGGAAGTGCATTACAATAACTTCTTTTCCCACTTGCTCCTGCTCGTTTTTTTCTGCCAAAACAGCTGCAGAGTAGATCTTATTCTTTTAGCTTATTTTCTTGTAGCCTTGTACTTATACAACATGTTGTATGTATATTCCTATTTTATTCATTCCACTCTGAGATGTATGTTAGAATAATTAACTAGTCTGCTGACATGGAAAAGATGCTTAAAATATAAAAAACAACAAACACATTTTATCTGGTGAGTGTATTCAACAATTTGCACACACACACGCGCACGCACGCACGCACGCACAACACACACAGATGTTTCTCATCACCCTCTGCTGCCAACCATCGTCCAGACCAGTGCTGGCTGAGAGGAGGGGAGGGGGGGGTTTGGGCGGGGGTGTGAAATTCTGCTATTCCTGCTCCAGTGAATTCTGCAGGAACTTGGCAGATCATTGTGGAGATTTGTTTGTCTGTGGATTTGATATGAAACAGTTTGAGAGGCTCGTCTGGAGTCAGTCTCCGAACGCGCGCTCCCTTAAAGTGGACCGCACTGTTCGGCGTATGTTCCTGGATGGTCACATTTCTCGGGCCCCCAAGGGTGCAGATGGGCAATTGAATTGGCAGAAAGGTCTAAACCATTATCCAAAAGATAAACATTACAATACTTTGTAGCTCTAAAAAAAAAACTAAAAAAAAACTATGCCCTTTAAAAAACTGCCCATGAACCTGCAATAGCAGAACCAAGCAAAAAAACACCTGGATTGCCTACATAGATTTCTGCAACCATACACGTTGCCGATTAACAAAATACTCAATCTCTATTGATATTTCATCACAAATTCAACAGCAGGGCATGCCCGGCAAACTGCAAGCAAGTAAAGCTTTCAAAGGGCAAGCCCTCTAAAAAAATGAATGCATGTACAAAAGAAATCTACCGTAGCGATCCTAAGCGCTTTGCATTTTGAGAAGAGTTGCGCAGGGAAGGCTTTGTTTGCAGGAGCTGGAGTGGAGCAGTATATGTGGCCCGGAGGCCGGATCTGCTCCAACTGTGCCCTGGCAAGAAAACGTTCAGCCCAGTCAGCCTCGACAGCTTGGATATTCACAGGGGGCGATGGAAAACTGGAGGGCTGCACTTCCATGTTGGAGATGGGGGAGCTTGGAGGAGGCGGGGTGATGAGTCAGGAACAAGGTGTTTTATATTTCGGTACTGCAAGGACATGGCATTTGCCAAACGTAGTGTGTTGATGAGGGCCCTGTGCCTGTTTTGGCCTGCGGTGGATTAAAGTGGATCATTTGGCAGTTGTGTCTGGAGGGGGCCAGCTGCATTTTTAGTTTAGTCCTGCAATACCTTGCTTTTGTGACAGTACATTTTTAAAGACTGGAATTTAATTATCACCGCAGAGTGAACAGAAATGACTCTTCAGTTCACTGGGAAACATAACATGACCTTGAAGATTTTCAACATGTGCATTTTTTCCCTCACGACGACGGTATCATAGCAAGGATGTTTAGACTAGATTACATATTGTCCTTTGACAAAACCATTGTGACAGTTTCCAAAGATCAAAAACGTATTCTCCAAATCATCATTTTTATTCAGTATGAAGAATTACTCGCTTCCAACCACAGAAGATGCAGTTAAATTCTGACAAAATTCTAAAACTCAAGGCTTTTGATTTATAACAGCTGTGTCCCCATCACTTCATTAACCCGAATCACCTTCAAAACCTTCACTAATACTAAACAAATGTGGAGCCTGTTTCAAAAACAATAGTCTGTATGGGCTTCTTTTAAATATGTGTCAAAACTTATAACTATCCAGTAAATGCTTTTGGGTACCTATTTTTTGTTATTTCCTTTAGAAGCAATGCATTTCAATATCTTAACTGAATGAGCATTTCCAACACGACTGTGATGTGAAGCCGCGAAGTTGACTGCATTGATTAATGTTGCAGATAAAAAGGTCAGTGTTGCACAAACAGCCCAAAAAAAAGGACAAAAAACAAGAGATTTGTTTGCGTTCAAATGTATTCATCCCCGAGAACCTCTTCAAAACAGGGTTGCGCCGAGGCAAAGCCTCATGGGAGAAATGAGACACACCTCCTAATCCTCAAGGATACGAAAAAGCATGTCATTACCATGACATTTACACCATCTTCTGGGATGTTAGAATGAAGCGTGGGAACAACAAAGAGATGAAAACAGTGAGCAAACTCTAAAAATAGGACGAGTGAATTTTTGATGTTCCGTGTTTGAGTCACAAGTATAGCTTGAGTCTCTGCCCAACTTCTATTTATTCAGCACAGCTAGGACAACCAGCTAGGGTAGCCTACATTTCAAATGAGCCATTCTTCGTGCTTCTCCAACACCAGCGGCCGGGCTTGAAGGCATACTGAGGACATGTGATGGAAAGTGGAGCACAAAATTTTGACCCGAAGACGAGTGAGAGAAAGAGTCGTCTGCAAAGTTAAACCCTTCACCCTTGGGCTTAGAGTACGCCGCAGAAACTGTTTAGGAGGAAATTATGAATAATGAATAACCCCACACACAGTGTATATCTTGGGCAATTACATGTTAATATCCCTCACCTTTTATCCACCTCATCGACTGAGTGTGGTTGAACATTGAACATTTTTCTACTCGTCAGCAGAGTATGGACAGAAGAAGCTTTTACAGCGGTCTGTGTAAAACAATTATATCAACAGTTAATTGCTGGGGATCTTTGTTTAATGAGCGTCAGAGCAAATGTAATTACTTAGCCTTTAAAAAAACAAGAATAGAAACCTACCTGTGTGCAAATAAAAGTTTTAATAGAGTAGAAACTACCCTGAACTGTAGCCCGGAACTTGACTTATAATTACACCATTGTTTGACGTACAAACACACAGGAAAGCAATTACAAAAAAAGTGTTTTCATTGGTGTACATTGGGGCTGACCCCTGCCTGTGTATTTTCCTGTTGGGACAGTCAGCTATTGTACCCACTCCCTTCCCTCTGGACACCCTATCTGATCAGTCCGTTCCCCAGGGGTCACTATCGCCCTGCTACCTCTACGCTCGTCCTGACAGCCATACAATGGGATCCAGTGCTGCCCTAACGAGGAGAGTTGAGCCTCGATTAATTAGAGGCACCCCCTACCCTCCATTGGCTCCAATGGCTCCTGTTAACTCAGAGCAGTGTGATGCAGCTCGGCCAGGGTTGGGACTGTTGGGCCCGTCGTGCGAGAAATGGGGGTGGAAGTTGTGGGAAGGTAGGGGTGGGGGGTTTCTGTCAGCTGGCCAATGGGGGACCGTAGTAATTGCCCAGCTCCCACAGTGGCAAGCGATCAGAAAAAGTATGAGGGTGGTCAAATCTTAGGGAAGGGAGAAAATGCTGGGCCCAAATGGGGTGCAGTGCAAAAAAAAAGTTCAGAAGAGACTCATTGAAGTTTCAAAAAATGAGGAAGAGAAGATAAAAGACGGGATAGCAACTGGGACCAGGGATTCAGAGAAAAGTTACAGCACAAAGATTCTTGGCTGCGTGAAAATAATACAAGTAGAAAGGACAACTGGACAAAGTGTTTGGAGTGGAAAGTGGAAATAGAATGACCTCGGGTGCTACTTACTAGGGAGAGGCGGACGCGGGTGCAGTGAGCGTCTTGGCTGTTGGAGTGGAACAGAGCAGGGTGCAGCGGCGGCTGCACAGTGGGCCCTCACTGGACACTTCAATCACAGGCAGCCGGAGCCCCAGGCAAACTTGGCCAATTAGCCGCACACTGCTGTTGACCCCCAGCTTCATTAAGGGCCCGGGCTCTGGATAAGGGGAGAGATGAGAGGATTAGAGAGGGAGTGAAAAGTATTCGCACTGGCAATGTTTGAGAAAACACACACACACACACACACACACACGAGGTGACGCTCAAGGTTACAGGTAAACACAATCAACTGCGAGAGCACCCTTTAACACACATGTACATGTGTGGTGTATCACGGCCCCTCCCCACCACCTCCAGGGATGTGGTGGGGAGGGGGTAAGAACCATTAAGGCCAGAAGGCGTAGGGACGCCCGCTCTCCCACACCGCTGCAATGACAGCAACAGGTGTGGTGGCCAGCAGACACGCAATTACAAGGCTGGAAAATGTGCGCTTTGTGACAGAGACCACGGCAGATCAGAGCGAGAGGGCTGGAGAAGTGGGAGGAGAACCGAGTGACGAGGAAGAAGATACAAACTACTGAAAGCCTCCGGAGAGAGAGAGAGAGAGAGAGAGAAAAAAAGAGTTCCGGTCCGCTCCTTTCATCGCAAATCCCTCGCCGGCGGAAAAAAATGCAGCAGATGAAAAAGCAACACATACAGTAGCTATGACACACCTGTTGTTTTGCAGTAGAAATACCGCCGTACACGCTTTGGTTGTCTGGAGAGACATCGCTTACACGCGTGTGCAACAATGAGACAAAGGGGTTCTTATTTCAATTCAGATTGGGTGGGGCTGTTTGGGTGTTTTGGGACAGGTTGCGCTCAATGAGCCCTGACAGAAAGACAGTTTGGTTTGTGTGTGCGTGCGTGCGCACGCTTGCCTGCATTGCAAGTGTGCATATCCACCTGGGAGCTCTGCTTGCATCAACCCTGTGATGGAAACCTCAGCGGCGCTCCAGGGTGTGGGGGGGGGGGGGGGGTAATAGCGGCGGCTTCATACTAGCTTTCCCTCATTTTCCCTGCTCTCCAATTACGGGCCTTCGATCAGGCTAAAGTAATGTTTACCCGCTTTGCCGCCCGTGTAGCAATAAGTGCTGTCAGAAGGCCTGCACGCTCGGGTGGAGAAGAGGTACTGGCCCTTTATTCAAAACAATCTGAGGGATAAAAGATCAATGGCCCAATTCAGGCGATGTATTGGAGGGAAAAGTTCACAAACATAGTGAAAGATTATGAGAGAGAAAGATAAGAGATGCATGTGTGGACGGGGAGAACGGACCGAGGGGGCATGCAGCTCATCTGTGTGCTAGTGGCTTATTGATCGGTGGAGACACACAGCTCCCAGCCATTCATCACAGGCCACTCAGGCCCTTAGATAACTCCTATGATAGTGCCCTGCTACTGAGCAGCTGCAACTGCAATCCATTATCCTTCAAAGTAAGGCCCCTAGCCTGGGAACAGGCCTGGGGAGGCAGCTGGGTAAGAGGCTGGAAGAAGGACTGAAATGGAATTGGAAAAGACCAGGCCTATGGTTAGGAGCCTGGGGCTAGTGTATACAATGGGCTGGAGCTAGGTCTTGAAGGGGCCAGGGATCTATGAGAAACTATGGCAAAAACAGCGGGTACAGATATGAGAAACCGCCGGTTTGCACCATTGTTTTGACTTCTCGGCCAAGCGGTATTAGTAAAGCTGTTTTGTAGCGGATAATACAAACTTCCGAGCGACAGGCACTTCGGAAAACTGCTGAGGGGCTGTGTACGCGAGTGTGTCCAAAGACAATTCCCAGGATTGGGCAGGTGAGGGGGGGGGGGATCAGCTCTAATGAGCCATGCAGCGAGAAAAGAGAGGGAAGGGGGTCGGAGTCAGGGCAGAAAAAAGGAAGGCCAAAGAGCGAGGGAGAATGACAGAGTGAGACTGATGGACTCAAGAGCCAGAGACAAGGCCCCAAAAGAGCAATTACAGGAGCTCCAGAGAAGGTGTGGGCCCAGCCCCTAGGCGTCGTTTCACACAGCACAAAACCCTGCCAGACATGCACGTACACACACACACACACACACACACACACACACACCGTGATCTAAGCAAAACCTCTGATGAGCAAAAGCCGCAGACGGACAAAATAAGAGAAGTTAGGTTTAAGTCAAACCGAAAAGGAAGCACAAGGTGCGAGCACGCTCAAACTGGGGATCATCGTGATCCAAAGAGCCCCCATGAGGTGCTGCCCTATGTGTTTTCAAAGCAACTTTGTGTTCTTGTTATAACCTGTTCCCTTAACAGCATCGCTTGAGACAGAAGCTGAAACTGCAGGGCCGAGGGCATCCATGTCGATCGTCCTCCATGTGGCGAGGCCTAAACAAAACTGAAAAGTCTGGGCAGCCCTGCACCTCGGTGCCCGTCACAAACACAAGTCCAAAATGGCTTCTGAAGGCAACCGTTGCCCCACATTACCCCACCTCCGCCACTTAAAGGAGAACGACGGGCTGGAAAGAACTAGCAAGAATGACGGGAGAGAGATGCAACCAGATAAGGGGGGGGGGGGGGGGGCTCTTTTTCCCCACTGCTGTGAAAGGGGATGTGTATTTTGAGGGTGGGTGTGCGAATGTGTTTAGGGCTGGAAAATAAATAGATTTCATTTGATTTACCAACTTGGACTAATCACTTAATCCGAACTTATTTAACTCACCAGGAAGCTCGTAGTTCAGTGGTGTTGTATAATCAATACAAGAGAGGTAAGAGACAACACGGGTAAGTAAATACACACAAGAAAGATAGTGAGGTAGGTATATCTGCGAGGTAAATGTGGAAGAAAATACATTTAAGATTAACCGAAAACAATTTAAAACTTCATGATATCAAAAAAAATGATCAGTTTATATATCACGGTAAAAATGTATCATTGAGATAGAGTCAAGCAGACAAACTCGTAGTCTTTGGGCACTTATTTTCCCACTGTCTGAAAAGCGATTCATGGTCAAAACGTATTAAATAGATGCACTCTGGGCTGCAGCCCACGTACAAGGAGATATTTGCATTCGTGTCTGCATAAATGAAAAATAAATACACTGTGCTTTCCATACATTTAGGACGACTTTATACGGTTGTGCTACTGCTAGGTTTAAGTGTCTCTAAAACATGACCAGCTCTTAATTACGAGCATGTAAATATGTGCATGAGTAATTGCTGCTGGTGCGTGGTAAGCGCCAACGCTTTCAACTCGGTCAAACATGTTTTCTGGTTCACAGTAGCTTTGAAATTCCCCCAGTGTCTTGTTTCTTATATTAGCGGGTCAGAAAGGAGTCCTTCAGTTGCCGACCCTCATTTGTTTCCATCCCCGCTCTGCACTCAGCCGAGGGGAGTGCGGCTGGCTTGTAACACCTCTGAGGATCTATCCCGACAGATCTCACAGAGCTCTTATGAAGGCAAATCAGTCAAAATCAGGTTGATGCGCGTGCGTAAATAAACATTCCCGATCAAAAGTCGGTCTCGAGAGAGCAAAAGTCCTTATTTGCTCGCTCGCGAAACCTGAATCTGCACGCTCGCTGGTTTTGACGGTAAGGGGGCGGAGTCAGTCACCATGGTCTCTCTACATCTAATTGGTTACCAACCCAGTCTTTGGATTGGCTGAAGTTATGCATTCACAGAACTATAGAAGCCCATTTACGGACTTTAAGACCACTGCGTCCGGCTCGGTAAATATCTTGCCAACTTTCAATACGGATCGATTTTTGGAAAATCGAAATTATGATAAGTCAAGATGATGAGAAGATATGCGCAGGCTCACAGTTTCAGACTTCCCGGTTCAATAGCTTGTCAGCGAAACCTTATCTCACCGGTACGGACCTGCCAGGGAGCCGGACGCAGTGGTCTTAATGTGCCGAAAAGTTGCACCGATGGGGAATTATTTTATTTTTATTCAAATATATCTTGAGCCTAAACATTCACGTGATCCTCTGGTGACTAATTAAGGCAAAAGCAGAACAGACTACCCTTTTTCCCTTCTGTAGAGTTCCAGCAGATACACATAGGCAGGCGGCCACTCCCTCCCTCCCTCCCTCCCACCCACTTACAAACAAACAGACACACCAAGTACAGGAACTGGAAGTGACTAACAACAGCATAAGGACAACAACTTGGGAAAGGCGTAGTGGTGAAGTGCCCTTCACAGCTTTCTCCAATGTCCCCAGCTGTCATTTCCAACAGTCTTGCTCAACGTAGTACCATCGAGAAACTATTTCTCTGTGTCTTGAATCCACAGGCCATCCTCTATACGACACTATGGCCCATTCTCTGAATCATTTATATATAGCCTGTGGAGAAAAGGTCATTATTGAAACAGAAAGCTATATTTCATAATTGCGCAACCACGCTTCTATCCCCTCAGTAAAATTGGCTCTCCAGAATATATTCTCTCACTCTACATCATCTCTCTTTATCTCGCTCTCTTGTCTGTTAGAGAGGGTGATTTGACAGGCTGACTGTCTCTCCTGATGCAATAACCACCCTCCATTTGTATCTGAGGGTGCATTAAGTAGACAGTGTAATCAGCCTGCACAGGGAAACGCAACGAGCCTCGCCAATCGGCTGCTTTTTAGAACTCTTTGCTGTAACGGCACGCCATTAGGCCACAATTAGCACAGAGCACTGTGGGAAAAGAAACCTCTCATAGACCTTTAACAAGCTGAGCGGATGGGTGAAACAAGGAGACTTTCATCCTAAATCCACTGTTGTTTGAAGCACGTAATCTTATTTGTTCACACTTTTTGTGATCACAATGTATTTAATTTTAATGTATTTAAGTTATGGATTAAATATCTACCATCCATTACCATTAATACCCTGGCTATTTGTTCACACTTGATGGTGAAGCCAATAGGAAGAACTTTATAGCTGAAGATTACAACAACCAATATCCAGTGCCATGAAAAAAACCTGATTCCATTAACATTTGACGGTAGATGATTTCTGAGTGATTCGGAAAACCGTAAAAGCCTCCCGCCAGACACTCAAGAGCATAATACACCTAAAAAATAAATAAAAAACACATTCAAAAGCACTGCCTTATCATAAATGTAAGGACTTCCCAAAACAGGGAGGTGAGTTTTGTTGGAGTACCCCTGTGAT